ACTGGCCATACTGATAAAGTTATACTGCAAAAATGAGAAGTTTCCATTTATTGTGGGAGACAAGGAAATCTATCCTTGAGTACTTACAAGTTATTCAGAATTATTTTACTTATGTAGCAAGTGCTTGGAAGGAAGATTTCGTTTCACTGTAATATAATAGTAAATCATAACATTGAAGGTAGTAAAATTAACCACTTAGTGTACATATCAGAGCAGGTAATTAAATGTGTTTGGGGTTTGTAACTAAGTACATTTACACACTTCTTGTCACCATATTATGTACTATATGGTTGGGTGAGTTTTATGTAGGGGAGTTAATGTTGTTATCCCTTCAAATGTAAAATATTTTGTGATCACAAAAATTATTAACTTTTTTCTACTACTCTGTTGCTAATTTTACTAAAGTATTTACCAATATTGTTAATTATAAATCATTATTCCCAAACTAGCTAATTTATGTAGTCGGAAGGAACTTTGCTATTATTTATATGTTTTTGAACTCGTTTAGTTCACTAACTGGTTAATTTATTTGGAAATTTTGTCCTGCTCCTATTTAAGGGAAAATACATAATAATTCTAATTCTTATAAATTTTTGCAATATGTATTTTATATTTTTGTTAAATTTTGGGTTTGATGAATTTGTTTGCAAAATACTAATGCAATATTTATAATTATCACATTAATTTGAACAATAACATTCAACAAAGTATGTTTGTTTGCAACAATTATCAATTTTAAAAAAATTTACAAAACATAAATAATCACTAAAAATTTAAACCCAAAAATCCATAAAAATAACCTATTTCTTAGCAAATAACGATAGAATAATATTGTTAAGGTATAAAGGCCAAATTTTCTACTGAACAAATAGGGATAAAAAGGCGTATTAGATTAAGGTAAAAACAATCAGGATGTAAACACCTAGAGTGGTACAATTATTATAAATAGAATCATTGTTTTTTCTTCCTGAAACAACAACATCAAAGCTTCTTCAAAAAGAGTGAACATAAGAGACCCAATTCAGCTACTAATTCAACCTAAAAGTCGTTCTTTATTTTTATACTTATACCTCAAAAACTACGTCATAATAAGTGACATATATACGTAATATATTTTATTTATTTATTTTGTTATATTTAATTTTATCTTAAGGAATTTATAAATAATTAAAAAACATAAATCAAATTAAACTACATTAATCAAGTAAACCAAATCGCCGATGGTATATCGGGAAAATTTGGAATCGAAATTTAAACGGATAGAAACCAGGGGTTGATGTTTACGAATTGAGAACTATAAATAAGGAACTACTTAAAATACACGTCTTATCTACTTACGCACGTCCTTAGTGAAGAGTGGATTAATTAAATAATCGTTAATGACATTTAATAACGTCCTTAATCATGTTTATAAATTTGTTGTGTGTGATCCCGAATGGATTAATTTAACACTTTATAACTGTAACTCAAGATTGTTAATTGACATTTAATAACACCCTACTCTTGTTACTATGTATTTTTTCCAACAAAAAAAAAAATAATGTCGATTACACAACAGAGTATTAAAAGAATTTCTTTTATTTTGTTTTTTAAAATTGTTTAAATGCTAATCCTATAATTCTATACGACCCAATCAAGACAATTATGTAAAAACTATATGAAACGACGACCTTTGTTCATTTTCTAGTGAATTAGTAGTGGAGTATGGCATCAGCGTCAAACGTTAAAGGTTGCAACCGTTTTTTTCGTCACTGTACAGTGCAACATTCTACTCAAATATAGTGCTTGTGGGTGAAAGCGAAACCCTTGTTAACGGCAGTTAAATACACACGTATAGTCAACTTCCTAGTGCTTATAGCCTTCCTACATTTTTTGCTATAAATAGCAGTAATTTGGGAGTGAGTTTTTCCACCAAACTCCATACACCATATTAAGTAATACAATTTCCTTTCTTGGTCGATCAAAATGTCAAGCCCTTTTCAAAGAAGGTCCGTTTCTGCTGAACCTCTAACTCTCAACCCTCTTCGGCGACGCTGAAATTCTTATCCTGGTGGTCGTGAAAGCCCACGGCGCCGTCTCCTAGACCGTAATTTTGTTGATTCCTATCATCGGAGTTTGGCTAGCCACATGGCTTCTGTTGGTCAAACTTCCGATCAGAGTGAGGACACTGTGTCCAACGTCGCAGCCACCGACGAAGGTGACGTTCAAGAGGTCCCTCCAGTGGTGGAGGAAGTCCCTGCTGCTGGTCGAGGTGCCTTTGTTCCTCCTGTTACTCTTAGTGCTGCCATCCATGCTGCTAGCCATGGTGCCCTCTCCCCCGTACGTACACATCAAATGCACGTGTCGGTCGCCTCTGCTCCGATGATGCTGGTTGAACCACAAGGTCACACTGGCGTCATCAGGCCTTTGGCAACTCTGATGCACATGTTTGCTCCTCCACCCTCTCAAGCCTTGCCGACGGTGGCATCCATGATTAACCTCGCCGCTATTCCACCGCATTTAGTCGGAGTACTTGTGTACACTGTTAGAATTCGCAGTGACAACCCTTCTGACTTGGGAGTTGTGTACAACATCAGGTATGACTAGAACCTTCACTCCATATACTGTGACTATGAAAGTAGGATTGATCGCCATCCTTATGAGATCCTCATTAAGAGGGTCACCGGTATCATTACTCCGTTCGACACTCCCTACAGTCTTGGATTACAGAACGGCGAAGTGCTTCTCGTGCGAGGATTGGTAATGTATTTTAAAAACCCTTTTACGTGCATGGTGTTTTGGGGTTTTTTTTAAAAATACCCAAATCACATGGTAATATATACTATGATCCGTATAAATGTAAATTATGTACATCCTGTGTTTATTTTTTTTTTGTTTCCAATTTAACGCAGAATCCGGAGATCAATGTCGACACGAACCTTAAGCAGTTCTTTGTTCGGGATCTAACCACTTGCCCGGTGATTCTCAAGATGGTTGATCATTTAGCCACCCCGCTTAGATGTGTGAAGGAAGAATGGGGGATTCGTAATGGGTATTCACCTTACAACATCATAATCATTCGTGAAAACAAGATTCTGACTTCATTCCACAACATTGGTGATGCCGGAATTAACAATGGTGATGTGATATTCTGCCTTCCAAGTATTCCTTAAGTGTTAGTGTTATGCGATGGTCAATGCTAGTAGTGTTGTTCTGTTTAGTTTGGTATTATATGCTTCTACTATGTTAACATGGTCCTTTTGGACGAGTACGTAGGTGTTTGAAGAACTAGTGTAAGTTTTAGCTTTATTATTATTAACAATAGTTGTTGTACGGAAATATTAAGGTGTTGTTTTCTGTATCGGTTTGTATGGCGTTGTAGCCTAAAGTCTAGCTTTTGAAACAATCTAATTAGTAGTAAGTATTGGACCATGTGGTTTTCTTATTATTATTGGTTGAGGTGTAAGTTGTATTGTAATGAATGACTTAAATTAATCGTTGAATAGGTGTAAGCAAATTAAAATTAATGGAGAAAAAGCACATAAAGTGCGTATTATTAGTAATCTTGTTGTTTTCACTCCCAAGTGAATTTAATTAATCTTTTTTATTTTAATGCAATTAATGTAAGTAGAATTTTTTTTTTTTTTACAAGTAACGGACCTTTAGTCCATATAAAATGGACCAGCAAGGAAGTCCATTAAAACAAGGGTACTTTAAGTAGACTTTTCCTAGTTTAAGGCATGTCATTAAGTTCAAAACTAAAATTGTCATTAATGTAATACCTATACTAAATAATGAACATGTAGATGTACAGAAAAGTGTTCAAGTATCAAGTTTTTTGGGCCATAGAAATAAAAGATTTGTAGAATTATCAAGAGATGAACACAGTATCTGGCAATGAAGAATTTACAACTAAAGGCAGTGTGATCGTTCAATTGGATCATAATGTAGATGATTAAGGCGTTCTGTCATAACAATTATCAAGAGATGAACACAACATTTGCCCATTTATAAACAGTCAAATAGCGAATATTAACTTTGGTGTATGTTTTTTTTTATTTATTTTATTTTAGTGTTTTTTTTTAAAAGGTTTTGACAGCTACCTCTCTTAACAATAGTTGCTTCTGTATGATAGGGCCAACAAATCATCTTACTTCTGTGATTGTGGCCCAAACAACCATCTGGGCTTAATTTTATTTTACAAAGACATATAACCGGCCTCTTTGGGCCTTGACCCAATGAAAATTGGGATAAAATGGAATCCAATAGCCTATTTTGCGCTTTGGAATTGATTGTCTTGCTACAAATTTGTTTGCTTGAACATAATACGCTGCAAGCAACATTGTTACAACTTAGCTAATATGAAATAGAAGTACTGGTAGATAAACAAAGCCGGGAATAGAAATTATAGATACGGTTACATCAACGACGCATGAGATACGAGTCACCCAACACACCTAGAAAAGTAAAAGACACAATGCCAACCTAGAAATACAAGAGCAAGAACACTTATGACATAAAACAAACGACATTTGAAAATTCAAACACACAACAGCAACGTAGAAGATGACTGAACCATCTCATCCTAAACACATTCCAAATTTTAGAACGACTCAGAGTTGTCGTTGGACCAGAACAATGTGTTCTGACTTAGGAAGTCATCATCACACATGCCATCCGTAAAGTGTTGTTGCTCAATATTTTCCATATCGTCAGCATCAATTTGTGTCACGTTCGGATTCCGAGTCACCTGTGAAATAAAATGTAAGACTCTCTACAAAATATGAACGTGTCCTACGCATGGCAAACACAAAAAATAGTGGGGAAGTATACTTACTGGAAGTTTAGAGGTACCTCCAGTTGAAGTATTTTAAGGGTTTTGCTTCTTGGAGTTTCGTTTCTGAGGGTTTTTGTACCCATTTTCAGCTTTGGACTTGTTCCTGCTCCCTTTGGGCCTCCCACGGGGTTTCTTCTTTATCACTGGGTCCATTGGAATTGTAAACTCTCCATGAGCTGCACCACTAGAGTACAATGGGTCTAGTGGAAGGGGGGGCATTTGACATGTTCACATCTGCTGTGTATGATTCTGCACCGGCTTCCTCAAGGCTCTTGCGCTTCCTCCCTCCCACTTCCTGACGCATGTTATTAATTTTATCCAGAACTAAGTTTACGATGTTATCACTTATAGTGACAGCCTCGTCGCAAAGGGATTCAAAGGCAACCATCAAACGGTTGTACCTGTGCACCTCGATGGTCTCAGATGGGTCATGATAGGCAACCTTTACACGGGTGTGTTTCCGAGCAATGTCCTTTCGCCAACGTCTAACAATGTACTTGTCTGGAATGTCAGCTACATGGTTTTGATCGAGTACCCGTATCATGTGCCTGCACATTATGCCATCCGTTTGGAATTTGCGACAATCACAGATAACATCTTTAGTGAGAGTGTTGAATGTTGCAGAGTAGAACCTCCGCTGATCTGTAAGCAACCCTTCGCTTGATCCTTTAGGGACAACCCAAACTCGATCCTCCAAAATATACTGAATAATAGTCTCCTCAGTAAACCTCTCTTCCACACAAATACAATACATCATTCGAGCACATTCCTTTTGAAGTTCTTGAAACTTAGCGTCAGTGTATAGTTTCTGAAATATTTTCTCAACCGCAAACCCACTAACCAATCTTCTCAAATACTTAGAGCAATTAGCATCTGAATATGCCTCATCTCTTGCTCGTTTCTGAAGCGCCTTCGAGTACTTAAGAGGAAACTTGAATAGCTTTGTGTTGCGGTTCACAAATCCATCAAAGAAGCTATGAATGCTCTATACTCGTTGTGTGGTCTTCATTCCCGCCCAGAAAAATTCCTTCATGAAGGCCGGAACCCACATGTGTCGTTCCTTAAACAGGCCACACAACCATTCATTTTTTTTCAAGTTTGTACTCTTCGATGAAGGAAAACCATCGACTTTCAAACTCCATGATAGTGAAACTCTCATACACAATTCTTTTTAACACACTTTTAAAGTCCTTGTACCTGTTATTCATGTGAAGTCCAATTAGTGTCATTGAAAATAATATGAATTGTATTGAATTGTAACATAATTTTACTCTAACCAATGTTAACACACGTACCTTTTACAACTCCCTAATATCTCCGGGATCTTCCGCATAATATGCCAAATGCACCATCGATGTCGCGTATTGGGCATGACCTCCTCAAGTGGCTTTCGCATTGCAGCAGCTTGGTCTGTCAATATTGCAAGCGATGCACGATTATTCATACTGCACAACCATTGCTTAAAAATCCACTGAAAAGTGTCACAATCTTCCCGTGACACAAGTGCACATCCCAAGAGTATGGACTGTCCGTGGTGGTTAACTCCTACAAAATTTGTAAATGGGAGCTCATATTCATTAGTTAGGTAGGTAGCATCAAAACACACCACATCTCCAAACTCCTCATATGCAACTCGACTACGACCATCAACCGAAAACACATCTTGCAACCATCCTTCATCATCAACGCGTTCAGCATGATAAAAATTGTTGCTTGTAGCATGCATGTGCTGGAAGTACGACATCATCGCAGCTGAATCCCCACCAATCATCTTTAAACGCCTAGCTTTGTACACTTCATGTTGTAAGTCTTTCACAGTAAATGGCATGTTCTCCAAATCTTTGCGCTCCAAGGCCATACATCCATGAATCTATGACACAGGGACTCCCTCTTCAAAAAATTCGAACAACCTCCTCTTAGCCCGGGATGTCCAATGCTTCATTCGGTACTCCTTAACCAGCCTAGATTGACTGGGGAGCGGCGTGTGGGTTACATGTGTCAGAACCACTTTCCTGACCACCAATTCCTTATCACGAGTGACACTAGCATACAGCATGGCAGTGCATTCACATTTCTTGGACTTCCTTTTCCCACGATTTAACTCATCCTCACATACTTTTCCTCCAACAACTCCACCCGAAGCAGATACACCCATCTCCTTCGCCCTTTTTTTTGCTTCTCTAATGGCCCTCATATCCGGTCTTCCCTAATACTCACACCTCCAAGTTATTGCAGTCCAAAATCGTACCTCCCCCTTCGAAAACACCCCTTGGACTCTACTAACACCAAACCCTTGTTTTTCAGCATAGTCTTTGTAATACTCTTCCACATCTTGCCACTCTCTAAAAATCATTCCCACCTTTGGCACCTCTTCATCACTCACAACATTTATGTTATTACTACCCACCACGGTTTCCACGGAGTCGTTTGTCTGCATTGGGGATACAAACAGTTCTCCATTCTCATTTGGGACGCCAGTTCCACACCCTTCCTCACATATAATTTCATCCAACCCTTGGGATTGGACGCAGATACTACCTCCACAATAGACCCCACTACCCTCGTCGTGCATACCTATGACACAGCCACGATTAATAATAGGTGTTTCATTATCTGTCGCCATGCAACAGAGTTGATAGCAACCCGATCAATCCTGAATTATAACAAAATGGTATTGTTAGATAGAACGGTTGTTTCACCTAAACATAACTCGCATACGAAAAAATTCTACTAAAATACACGACTAGGGTTTACTAAGCTAAACAACTATATAAATTCTGTCCTCTAAGCACAATAATTCGTTCTCGTTAACCATGACATAATGAGAACAAAAATACTTCATTACACGAATATATAAAGCCGATAATATAGGAGTTGTTTCGGGGTTTTCTGATGTCCTGCGGGAGAGTTACAATTCCGAGACTGGAACCGGACGCCTGTACCTGCAAAACAACGGAGACTCCTGGTGGTGGGAGCTCCGCCTCCAACGGTCAAGTTAGTACTTGATTAAGGAGTAATTAATGCGGAAATTAAAGTGATTGGGTCTCTCTAGGTGAGAGTGTTTAATGTGAGTTTTTAGCGTAATCAGCATGTAATTCATGTAATCCCCCTTAATGAGGATTAAGGGAGGTATTTATAACATTGGGAAACGTGCCAATCCTAGGTTTAGGTTAACCTAGGGCTGATTGGGCTTCCCTCGGAAGTTGGGCCTAGGTGGCCGGTTATCCCAGGTGTCATGGGAAGGACACGTGTCGTGTCGTAATTGGTCCAAGGTGGACGGATCATTGCTTGACACGTGGCAGGCTCCTATTGGCCCATGTGACGGACACATGGCGGAACCTGATTGGTCCACTTGTCAGATGGTGATTGGTGGGAGCAAAATCCTCTAATCATTTGCCCCTCACAGGTGGCACGTGACTGGTCACGTGTTACCTGTGACAGGTGTCGCACTGTAACAGGTGACGGCCCGCTACAGGTGTCACTCGGCGAAGGGCCGAGAGATTCTCCCGCCCAAATTATGGATTCTGGAAGTGACCCTTCGCCTTCTCATTTCGCCTATATAAGGGAGTGTTGACTTCAGTCATTTTCACACGAGAACTTTTTGAGAGAACATTCGGACCCCTGAACTTGCTCTGACATTTTGGACCCTTTCTGCCTACCGCCTGTTCTGACAAGCCGACTGCAAAGGATTTTCAGAACTTCATCAACCGTCACTCGTTCAGGTAACTGTCGGTTCTCTTACTCTTAATTTTCTTTTTATTCTTTTTTGAAATGGCACCACGGAAGCACACGACACGACCTAGGTTAGTGATCAGCCGGTCACCGGGGATGGCTGAATCTAGGACTAGGAGTGTCGCCTGCCCTTTTCCGGACCCATCTTTGCCCTTTATACAAAGTCCGACTGTATCTGTGTCTATGCAGAGCATGATGGCCAGAACAAAAAAGACTGCTAGGATGTCAAATTCAGACGGCTCCTCCCACAGGGTGCCGATTAGTGAAACATCTGACCAGGCGCCAGATGTGGAAGTGAAACAAAGCGGCTTGAAAGCCGGCAGTTCTGAGGGAGGAGTCAAGGTGACCCCTTCCCTTTTTACAGTTGACAATTCTTCATTCTCTCCTGCTCCTTTTAAAGGAGAGGAGGCGGGCCCCTCCGGGAAAGGGGAGGAGTCGTCCTCTTCAGACTCGTCAGAGGACGATTCCGAGTCTAGCTCTTCTGGCCATGCTTCTCTGGGCACAGAAGAGAAAAACAGTCGCCTGCAAGAGGCGAGGCTTTCTCACGCAGTTGAGAAGGGGGACGATTGGGCGGAGCCATCCGCCTCTTACCGAGAGCAAAATACCCCCTACTACTGCACGGTACCTCGGGGCCGGATCACAGCCATGCAAGAGAAAGTGGAGAGCTTTATCGCAAACCACACAATGGGCCCCGGCTTTTTAGTGTTTATGCCGGATCCAGAAGACACAGTCGTCTGGCCGGCTGGTACCAGTTATGATAGCGCCTGCTTTGGCCGCTACGAGGCGGCCATCAAGGCTGGGCTGCGCTTCCCATTACATCCGGCTGTTCAGCGGATCTTGGATGGGTATGAGTTGGGGCTATGGCAGTTAGCCCCGAACTCCTGGGTCAACCTACTCGGCTATGTGGCCGGGTGCGAACTGCACGGGGTGGAGCCGAGCTTCGAGGCTTTCGCCCACATGAACTACCTCAGCCGGACCCCTACAATCCCGTCTAGGTCAAGGGTGCCGACAATGATTAGGGGATTTTGCTATCATAACAATCCCGTCTAGGTCAAGGATGTTATCTCTCGGATGTCAAGCTCTGTTATGGCCACTGGGTCGAGTGGTGGAAAAATAGACCTTGACAATGTCAAGGTGAGTGCGCATGTTCAAGAAGCAGGCGGCAAGAAGAGAAAGGCATCCTAGACAGAAGCTCAACCTGGATGGATCCAATCAGGACTCTGACAAACGGTACCCTGCCGGATGATCATATTTCTTTTGAAAGATGTAAATAGTCAAGGGCTACTTAATAAAAGTTTGCGTACTTAATATTCAATTTTGTACTAAGAGGGGCACGCCTACTAACAAACAGTCGGCTACTCTCCATGTTTAATTTTATTCTTACTAAAGAGGGGCAGGCCGCCTATACATTTACAGTCGGCTACTCTCCATTGAGTATTTTACTCTCTTCAGAGGAGCATGCCGTCTGTACCTTTACAGTCGGCTACTCTCCATTGAGTATTTCACTCTATCTTCAGAGGGGCATGCCGTCTGTACCTTTACAGTCGGCTACTCTCCATTGAGTATTTTACTCTATCTTCAGAGGGGCATGCCGTCTGTACCTTTACAGTCGGCTACTCTCCATTGAGTATTTTACTCTCTTCAGAGGGGCATGCCGTCTGTACCTTTACAGTCGGCTACTCTCCATTGAGTATTTCACTCTATCTTCAGAGGGGCATGCCGTCTGTACCTTTACAGTCGGCTACTCTCCATTGAGTATTTTACTCTATCTTCAGAGGGGCATGCCGCTTGTACCTTTACAGTCGGCTACTCTCTATCGAGTATTTTACTCACCATAAGGGCATGCCGTCTGGACATATAGTCGGCTACTCTCCATAGAAGAGGGCCGACTGGTTCCAAAGACACAGCCACCCCCCTTATACTTAGCTAAAAAAGATTAGGCCCTGGCCGACCCTGTGCCTAAACAGGCGGCTACCCTCCTCTTACTTAGCACCTACGTTCACCAAGAACTAACCAAGGCCACAGGCCGAATGATCAGACCAGGCGCCAAGCCACCTGATCCAATCTTCAAACTAATACGACCTGTCCCAACATCATAGCAGGCGTCCGGCGGCATCCCTCCGGATGAATTTCGTCGCAGAGAGAAGCTCCCTTTTGGGTGGAACATTGCTCTATAAACTAATTACACGGCACCTATACGACTGTCCCCAAGGGCAACCACATAGCCGTTTTTGAGACAAGGATAACTCTATCACTAACCAAACCAGTGGTAGCAGTTGACATCTGAGTCAGATGACCGCCTGTATTACTTGGGATAAATGCAGGGAGTACCTCTTGAGTTAATAGCCAACAAACATTGGCGAATCAAGGGGTCTAGACGGCCTCCGCCGCCTGGTACCTCTACTTCTCAAGCAAGAGTGACGGCGACTGAGTAACACCAACGTTAACTCATAGTCACTCCCTCAAACTTGGTATGGAACCTAAAAGGTTTGAGTAGACCGCCTGTTTTTAGCAAACAGGGGCTCTCAACCACTACTCCTGCTAGGTTAACAACCTCTTGAGTTAATAACCAACAACTATTGGCGAATCAAAAGGTTCAGTCGGCCTCCGCCGCCTGGTGCCTTTACTACTCAAGCAAGAGTGACGGCGACTGAGTAACACCAAAGTTAACTCATAGTCACTCTCTCAAACTTAGTTTGGAGCCTAAAAGGTATGAGTCGTCCGCCTGTTTTTAGCAAACAGGGGCTCTCAACCACTACTCCTGCTAGGTTAACAACCTATGAGTTAAAAGCCAACAAACATTGGCGAATAAAGGGGAACAACCGGTACCCACCGCTTGATACCTCTACTACTCAGTTACTTGGCGACTAGGTAACAATCATGTTTACTTGGTCAAACCACTTTCCTACTTGGTTAATTTTACAAATGACAGGACCGCCTGCCTAAAGGGGATCCAGTCTTTAAAATGGTTCGAATACCGATTGGATAAATGGCCGACTGATCGTCTAGCCTGGAAACAGACAACCAGTCGTCCAGGGGCATAGGCGGAGTGACTAACTATTCGTACATGTCTGCAACTATCGGCCATGTAAAACAGTCGGTATAGTGTACAATTGGATATCAGAATATTCAATACTTGAACAAATTTGAAGCAAAACAAAAAATTCATTAAAAAGAAGCCGGTCATCAAAGACCGGCAAAATTTTCAGAGCCCCGGCCCCCTGGCCAGGTAAATACAAAACAAACGACACGCAGGCCGTGGAAAGAACACATAAAGCTTAGGAAGGGGGCAGATCTTCAATATTAGTAGCTGCCGCCTGGTCAGCACTCTTCTTGCTGGACTCGGCTTCAGCTGCATCCTTTTTTGATGCATTACCCCCAAGCGGCACAAGCGCCACTACCGGCTCCTCCTCCTCCAACGCTTCCTCCAACGCCTCTTCCTCAGCAGCCGCCAGGATCTCTTGATTATATGTATCAGAACACTGGCGGTACGTTTTTTCCCATGAGGCAAAGTCGGCATTGGGGAAGAGGCGGCCCCAAGTCATGCGCTGGATTTGAGCAGAGTCTTCCATCATCTCCCGGACCAGCTCTTTCTTTTCTTGCTCGGCCTTTTCCGAGAGCTCCTGGGTAAGACTCTTCTCCTGGGTCACCAGGCGTTCCTTTACGTTGGCCAAGGATTTCTCCAAGGCTTCGTATGAGTACATTTTTAGGCAAGAGGTCTCAGCTCGGCCTTGAGATTGTTGATGGTCGCCTTCAGCTCGCTATTCCTCTTCTGGGCCGCCTCTAACTGAGCCCGGATAGCGGCGGTAGCCTGCGCCTGATAATAAAGAATATCAATGGTCATAACTTCATTTTGGGCAATTTGAAACATTGCCTTATCACAGTTATAGGCGGCCATAGCTTTTGCAGCTTTTACCTCTTTGTTCTTCCGGTCAAGCGGCTTGCGAAGGCCGTTCACTCGGAGCAGGGCCTAAGTAAAAAGGGGAACATGCGTCAGTTTCCAAACAAAAAGAAAACAGGAGTCCTGGAATTCAAATACTCAAAAATATGCTAAGTATACCTCAGCAAGGACCCCTGCAATCTCGTCTAGGTCAAGGGTGCCGACACCCCTGACCGCCTCCCTTTCAGCTGGAGGAACGGCCTTGATCATAGACTTGGCCACCTCGACCAAGTCAGGCTCCTGAGGGCCGGCTGCATCAAGCATAAACAAACGGATTAGACCTAGTAAAAAAGGGAGCAAGTCTAAAATTTACAAGGACAACTTCATACTTCTAGGCGGCCTAGCTGGAGTTTTAGAAGAAGTGGCCGGCTATTTCTCAGCCGCCGCATGTTTCCTGGCAGAACCAGGAGAGCTCGCATCATTCGTCCTCCGGGCCTTGGGGTCCGGCTATTGGGAAGAAGAAGCTCTTGGAGCGCCCGTCTAAAAAAGAAGAAAAAAGTCAGTATATGCATAAAAACAACTCCAAAAAGAGGGTGAAAGGTTTGAAGCCCACCAAGGGTGCCCCCTTGTTGGGGGAGTCGGTTGAAGCTTGTTGCATGATGGAGGCCCGCAACATGGCCGCCGCAGTCTTGGAGGCGGTAATCTTGCTCATAGCGTCCGCTGCAAAAACATAGCAAAGTTAATAAGTCATAACAAGAAATGCATGGAACAGAGTATTCGACAGGCCGACTACCTCTTGAGCACCGACTGCTGAGGCCACAGGCGGCCAAAAAGTACTCGTCGTAGAGCCATTTGAAGCTCGGGACGCAGTGCAGGGGTACTTGCTCTCGTACCCCTGAAGTAGAGTTCACCTTCGACTCTACTTTGAAGAGTCCTTTATCTAGGATCTCTTTCTTAGACTTATGGGAAACAGGCGGCATGCTGCGGCCGCCTGCAAGAAGGGGCGGATTCCTGTTCCACCTGTTGAAGCGCTTGTTCAGCTCTGTGTCTGAACTCTCAATGATGAGGAAGGTGCTCCGCCAATCCTTCCATTTGTTTGCTTTACCTCTCGTCATGAGGTAGCCCCTGTGGCTCGTCAATTGATACCAGCCGGTACCGCCTGCCTTAGGGGTCCGGCTGAGGTAGTTCATGTGGGCGAAAGCCTCGAAGCTCGGCTCCACCCCGTGCAGTTCGCACCCGGCCACATAGCCGAGTACGTTGACCCAGGAGTTCGGGGCTAACTGCCATAGCCCCAACTCATACCCATCCAAGATCCGCTGAACAGCCGGATGTAATGGGAAGCGCAGCCCAGCCTTGATGGCCGCCTCGTAGCAGCCAAAGCAGGCGCTATCATAACTGGTACCAGCCGGCCAGACGACTGTGTCTTCTGGATCCGGCATAAACACTAAAAAGCCGGGGCCCATTGTGTGGTTTGCGATAAAGCTCTCCACTTTCTCTTGCATGGCTGTGATCCGGCCCCGAGGTACCGTGCAGTAGTAGGGGGTATTTTGCTCTCGGTAAGAGGCGGATGGCTCCGCCCAATCGTCCCCCTTCTCAACTGCGTGAGAAAGCCTCGCCTCTTGCAGGCGACTGTTTTTCTCTTCTGTGCCCAGAGAAGCATGGCCAGAAGAGCTAGACTCGGAATCGTCCTCTGACGAGTCTGAAGAGGACGACTCCTCCCCTTTCCCGGAGGGGCCCGCCTCCTCTCCTTTAAAAGGAGCAGGAGAGAATGAAGAATTGTCAACTGTAAAAAGGGAAGGGGTCACCTTGACTCCTCCCTCAGAACTGCCGGCTTTCAAGCCGCTTTGTTTCACTTCCACATCTGGCGCCTGGTCAGATGTTTCACTAATCGGCACCCTGTGGGAGGAGCCGTCTGAATTTGACATCCTAGCAGTCTTTTTTGTTCTGGCCATCATGCTCTGCATAGACACAGATACAGTCGGACTTTGTATAAAGGGCAAAGATGGGTCCGGAAAAGGGCAGGCGGCACTCCTAGTCCTAGATTCAGCCGTCCCCGGTGACCGGCTGATCACTAACCTAGGTCGTGTCGTGTGCTTCGGTGGTGCCATTTCAAAAAAGAATAAAAAGAAAATTAAGAGTAAGAGAACCGACAGTTACCTGAACGAGTGACGGTTGATGAAGTTCTGAAAATCCTTTGCAGTCGTCTTGTCAGAACAGCCGGTAGGCAGAAAGGGTCCAAAATGTGAGAGCAAGTTCAGGGGTCCGAATGTTCTCTCAAAAAGTTCTCGTGTGAAAATGACTGAAGTCAACACTCCCTTATATAGGCGAAATGAGAAGGCGAAGGGTCACTTCCAGAATCCATAATTTGGGCGGGAGAATCTCTCGGCCCTTCGCCGAGTGACACCTGTAGCGGGCCGTCACCTGTTACAGTGCGACACCTGTCACAGGTAACACGTGACCAGTCACGTGCCACCTGTGAGGGGCAAATGATTAGGGGATTTTGCTCCCACCAATCACCATCTGACAAGTGGACCAATCAGGTTCCGCCATGTGTCCGTCACATGGGCCAATAGGAGCCTGCCACGTGTCAAGCAATGATCCGTCCACCTTGGACCAATTACGACACGACACGTGTCCTTCCCATGACACCTGGGATAACCGGCCACCTAGGCCCAACTTCCGAGGGAAGCCCAATCAGCCCTAGGTTAACCTAAACCTAGGATTGGCACGTTTCCCAATGTTATAAATACCTCCCTTAATCCTCATTAAGGGGGATTACATGAATTACATGCTGATTACGCAAAAAACTCACATTAAACACTCTCACCTAGAGAGACCCAATCACTTTAATTTCCGCATTAATTACTCCTTAATCAAGTACTAACTTGACCGTTGGAGGCGGAGCTCCTACCACCAGGAGTCTCCGTTGTTTTGCAGGTACAGGCGTCCGGTTCCAGTCTCGGAATTGTAACTCTCCCGCAGGACATCAGAAAACCCCGAAACAGGAGTCACTCATCACTATAACATTATCAAATTTAATTATAAACGACGAGGGTTCATGTCACAACTGTAGCTAGCTAAATATAAACTTATTCAATAGGGAAGATGACAGAAAACTATTAACTATGTAAGGAAACGAATTCGTAAACTCAATATATAAATGACAAAGGTATCGTGAATATGAAGATCAATGCGCACCTGAATTCCTAAATCGTTGTGCTCCTTATACCTCGAAGTTTTTCGCTGAACACACCAACAATTGTGCTTCTGTCTCCTTTTTTAAAAAGCAAATAATGCAACTGTATGGCGGCAATATCATAAATAATCGACTCCCAACTGTAAACAACGTTACGGCCTTTTCAAATTCGGGAGTAATGGGGTTACCTAACGGAACCTACCCCTTATTATCCCACAAGGGTGATTCACCACTTCCTTATTACACTTGCGCATCCAGCTTGCAACCATGTCACCTTACACTGTTCTACTTATTTACGGATACGCCATTAGATAAACGTCAGGCGTTATTCAATTTGATTAACTGGGACAGCCTCATATAAAATTTGGATAAAGATTATGAGGCACAAAAATAAAATCTGAATACATTCCACTTCATACAAAACAAGGATTCTAAAAAAGAGTAGTTTTATTCAATTCAAACTCTTTAAAACATACTTAAAAACTAATCAAACTTTCCCTTTTTTTAATCTCTCTAAATTGAGAGCTTATCTCTCTAGAAATCTAGAGCCTTATCCCCAACCGCTTCCACCGTCTTCCACCATCTTCCACCTTCATCAACTCCTTCAATCTTCTTTAACTCAAGTTCAATCATCAATCCAGTAATAAAAAATAAATAAAAAAAAAATAAAAAAAAAATAGGGAAAGGGGTTATTGCAGAACAAAACAGAGGAGTACTTCAAGTTCAATCTTCTTAGTTCAATAGTTTGATTTTTTTTTTTTTTTTTTTTTTTTTTTTTTTTTTTTTTTTTTTTTTGCTTGATAACCACTTTTTCCCTTCAATTTCCTTGTTCTTTGCGGTTAACTAGTAAATATTCCACTATTTTGTTGTTCCCCTGTGTCGATTAAGATGACGGTAACTCAACCCTTTGCTCACACTCACACATGCCGAAGTGGCTCATCCTCAAGCCTTAATCCCTATTTTCTTAATCATCTGGTACTGGGTAAGTTTATAGATTACAGGAATTTCTCAGAGACTCGAATCCAAAAGTGGGTTTCGAACCAGTGGATTAAATTTGGGATAATTACAGTTCAGAAGTTAGACAATATTTTTCTTTTCCTTTGTGAGGATATTCGTGATAAAGATGCTATGCTACAACAGGGCTCGGCTGCGTATCAAGCGGCTCTCTTGATCTTTACATCTTGGACGCCGGGTAAGTCAATCAGAGATATTAAATTTGACGAGGTTCATCTCGATGAGGTACCTCTAAACTTATGCGAGAATATTATCGTTAATCCAATGCTTGCTCTGGCTGGGAAAATTTTGTGTGTCGATGAACCCCTTCCAGGATCAATTAGATGCTTGGTTAGAGTAAAAGTCCATATTCATGTTTTGGAACCGTTGTTATCAGGATTTTACTTGGACCTTGGACAATCTGACTTTAAATGGATTAATTTCAAATATGAGAATGTGTTTATTTTGTGCTCTAAGTGTAATATAGTTGGCCATAAGCAGAATACTTGTCCTATGAATCTTTATAAATCTGCTCCTTTTTCTGTTGATAAGAATGGGCCGTTTAAGTCTGCTACTTTGCTTCCTCATAATCTCTCAAATATGAATATTGGCTTAAAGAGAACAGAAAAATTTAGAACTACCGCAGTGAATCTCATGAGATTTTTCAAAAACTTTGATCGACCCCTACCCCAGAAAAACTTTGAAGCCGTACATTAAGCTCTTCTCTGAAATGGCTTTTGGGCCTTTTGTTCTCCATTGAATCAGCTTCTCGGGTACTTTTTTTTTTTTCTTATAAATCATCACCGACTATCGATTTTACAATCTAGGGTTTGCCTCTTGGCTTTTGTTTTATATTCATATTTTTGATTTTAGGTAATTGATTTATAAAAAAGGATTTGTAATTGATTTGTAATCATCATCGACTATCGTATTCTAGGGTTTATGGAGGTGATGGTGGTGGTGACGGTGGTCGCGGTATCCATTACGGTGCTTTGATTTCTAGGATTTTGGATTATAGCTGAGAAGAGATTTAAGACTACCACTCCTCTCCTCACTACCACATGCACGGTATTCTTTCCCTCTTCTCTCTTTAAGCTAAAAATTAATGAAGTGTTTGTCAATGTTCAAGTAAGATTTCAGCCTGATTTTGCAATTCCGATCCCTTGGAATTTGATTTTGCAAAGCTTTGGAAATAGTTTGATATTGTACTGTGTTATTGGTTTTAGCTCTTAAATTAGTTATTGCTACACCTCTATACTTGTACGTATTACTGTTTTCTCTATTCTGTAAATTCAAAATGATCTGGTAATCTTTTTTGCTTTACAGTTGTAGTATCAGATCTTGTGCTGCCATTTAACTGTCTCTAATTAAACTAATTTGGTATGAGAGGGTATATCCTAAGCCCTCTCTCGAAGTTGCTTACATAGTTATATAGTGTATCTTAAGTCCTGTCTGCCAAATTGAGATGTCTATAGTGGTATGAGTGGGTGCAGGAGGTGTGTGTAATAGTCTCTACAGGGTGAGTGAAGGGGTTTGTCAATCTGTGCTTGGTGAAGATAGTGGGTCTTGTAGGTCATTTGATGGTATAGAGTGGCAGTGGTTAAACTTGGCGTCCGGTGGCCTAAATATGGTGGTTATGCTCTGTGGGGTATTGTAGGGGATGTGAGTAGATGTTGATGTAATCAGGTGGCTTTGGCGATGAGTTGGATGGTTCTGGAGGGTGTCAAGGATTGCTAGTGGTTTGGTGTCAGTATTGATAACTTAGCTTTGGAGGCAATTTATGCTTTTATAATTTATATATCATAAAAGCTTATCAACTCTTCAAACTTAGGTCCTAGTTTTTGTGTTTTTTCTTCTGAAAGCATTCCAATTTTCCAAATGATTAAACTTGCCAAAAATTAATCTTAGTTGTAATGGATGGAATTTGGATTGGTTGAAATCCCTTTTATTGGTTTGTGTAAGCATAATGTTTGCACCTAGTTGCCCTTCTATAACTCAAAGGGTTGTGCATAAAAAGTTATGAGGTATAGCTGTTTGATATAATTCTTAGTACATGTAGAGCATAATTACCATTGTCAATTATTAACACAAATGTTATGTTTTATTCTCTTGAAACTATAATCGTGTAATGATTTTATAATTGATATCAATGATATGGAATATGTCCATAAGCTTTTAATAATTGGATTTTGTGTGCCATTTCTCTGCTATCTTTTAGTTTCAGATTTCATAACTAGACAGTTTTATATTTTGTATTTAGTACATACGAAGTATTTAATTCAGTTTTTATGCTTATTGATAGGGACTGCATTGTGGAGGTGGTTGAAACATTAGCCACAACACATAATATTCAAACTATTGCATAGGATGCTGCAATTAGGTGGAAGGAGATTTCTGGTTTTTGTGATCTTCTCTTTCTTGGATTTTGTATATATATATATATATATATATATATATATATATATATATATATATATATATATATATATATATATATATATATATTAGTGTACTCTATTTCCCCACGCTTTGAGATTCATTTTTTGGCTAAATGCAAAAAACACAAAGAAATAAAGAAATATAAAGAGGAAACGGGTGTGGTTAGAAGAAGATACCAGGGAAGTCAATGACCTTGCCTTGTACTTCATATGTGATTATGTGAATAAATGGCTAAGTGAGTTTTCTTTTTCTTTTTTTTGTTGCCCTTTCTGTACTTCAGAATCACTAAATACTGATCTAGTTATGAGTATCTTGTCCAAGCTAACTTATTATTTGTTGAATACCTTGGTGTGTGTTGATCTAGGGTCTAGGGCCTTATACTGCAGTAGTAAAGGGGGATAATGAAGTAAATCTTGCATATTTACCTTTTTGTTGTTACTTTCTTTCTCTTAGTGAAGTTGATAACCTGTTATATTTGTATAATAGCTCTATTAAATAATTTTTGCGGTGGCTTTGTCGGCTTACATTTACTTATCTACTAGCTCATAGGAGTATAATTCCTCCCTTAAATTTCTCCTACTCATTGATTCATCTCTTTAGCATCGTTCTCGTGGTGTATGATACATGTAGCAAAGGCAGGGACATTAGAAAATTCTCTACCTAGCAATTCTTAGCCTTGTTTCTACTTTCTTCTATGCTAGTGTCTATTCTATCGATTGTGACAATTTCTACATACCATGAATATAAATTTTGGAAATTTGATAAGGTGTAAATTGCAGGCTGTGATGAAGCTGAGCTCGGGGAAGAAGAGTTTGCTAAAAAAATGCACAACCAACATGATCTACAAGCACAGGTAGAGTTTAATTAACACTTTCAATGGCTGTGAGTAATTGTTGCTGAGTGTCACATGAAAATAGAGATGTTAAAGTATATGGGTAAATTTCACACGGATGACCAATCGGCTATTCTTGAGAAGGTATAATTTCTCTCTTCAGCTTGGTTCTGGCTAATCTGTTGTTTACTATGGCTGCGATTTTCTCTAAAAGCATAAATGTAAAAAGTGTCACATGAACAAAGCTGTTACGGTTTTTTGACTCCTTGCAAGGTTGCATGCTGAATTTGTGTATTGCTTAAATGAGGTTGCAGTTCTTGACTGCTCTTACCTCTTAGTGAGTTAGTTCTGGTGTTTAATTCTTGACTTCTCTTACCTCTTATTCCGTCTTGGTACCTCGGTTAGTTCAGGTGGTGCCTTTATTATGTGTAGTGAGATAATTGATGTAAATGAATGAAAGTATTGTTTGCATGCAACTTTTTCTACATCTATATTGTTATCTCCTTATGTGTGTCCTTGTGCTGTGCTAATGGAGAGTCACTAGACTCGTTTTCATGGACGGTTAGCTGGGTTGTCCCTGTTACTGTTTTTGGTCATAATCAGGCGCAATATAAAAAAAAATTTAAGCAATGTACGGGGGCATTAATTTTCTACACCGTATTGATTTTTTTTTTTTTTTTTTTTGATGGGAGAAGAATGATAAGGAAATTCTTGGTATAAATTTTGGCATCTTTACAGACTTACAGTTTTTAGCTTCTCTTAGGTGCACACTTCTAACAATTTTCCTACTGTGCCCCTTCCAGAAATAATGGTGGCAACTTAATTAGTTCACCTACAGTGCATGAATCGGTGCTTTTGATTCCAGAATACCTTTGACTACTACTTAGTTCTATTTCTTGTTGGTTATTTAGCTAGTACTTTGTTATATTCCGGGGTGCTATTTTGTTTTTCAGACTTGGAATGCTTATCTTTTGGTAATTAATGTGGCTACTGCCACTATAAATTAATAATATTTTCCTTTTTGTGTAAAAAAAAAAAAATTCTTTGCTGCCATCTTTTAAACAACCATAATCTGAGCTATGTTGATTGTGGGCTTGGTCTATTATAATTTATAATTTAGTTTAATTATATTGCTTTTATTTTTTTCAATTTTACGTGTAGGTGCATGGGGAGTGAAATGGAGCGGAAGTATAGTGACTAGCCATCTAACAAATGGTGCATATATGTTGGCGACTCTTATTCAAGTTCCGTCTTTGTGAAGATTTGGATATTTCGGCTTAAAAATATATGTTGACAATTTGTATTTTGGACGATCAAATTAATTATCTAACTTTTATTTATTATTAGTAGGGTATGTCATACCAAAAATAGGCAAGTAATATTTTGTAATGTATGTATTTTGCATTATAATTATTATATATAAATGATACTTTAATTTGTTTATGTTAGTATATTTAGATTTGTACCGACTAATTAATATTATATTACCATTTCATCCCAACAAAAAAAAAAAAAAAAACCCAATGATCAATCCGTTGCAGTAGATACGTACTCCTATCATTGTATTAATTAGCTTCATCCGTTGCAATAGGTTCAATTTCATCATAATTATTAGTCAGTACTCTATTGCCACGGATAAGTTATGCCGTTGCAATAGGTATTGGTCTATTGCCACGGATCAGTGGAGCCGTGGCATTAGGTGTCATATGCTGTTGCATTAGACCTACTGCAACGCCAGCAGATGCCACGGTACATGGACGTTGCATTAGGCCTAATGCCACGGATTTTGACGCCTAATGCAACGAATTTGGGGGTTGCAATAGATAAAAAATGTAGTAGTGTCGTCAGTTTCATTGCGAAAGGGGCCTAAAAGCACTTCACCATTAGAGAGGATGAAGTCAGTTTGTCCTAAGAAGAGATCGCCCTTGGGTTCTACTGAGAATTTAATGCTCTGCTCTGAGGAGAATGGAGCGGAGGCTGCTGCTGCTAGGTGTTTCTCATGTCTCTCTGTTAAGAAACGTAAAGGAATTGGTAACTTTTCTCCAACTCAGATGTCCCTTTCTGACTCTTTCTCTGAGGGCTTGGTGGCCGCCCGTTTAAGGCCACCAGACGACAGATGAAGCTTGTGGCTTGGAACTGTAGGGGTTTGGGTCAGGCGGACTCCCTTAAAGTTCCTTACATTGCGTCCTTAGTCCGCTCTTATGCTGTTGATATTGTATTTCTAGCTGAAACCATGGTGTCTGTACATTCTGTAATGCATAAGTTATCTTCCTTGTCATGTTCAGGTTTAGTGGGTGTTGATTCGATGGGTCTTAGTGGTGGGCTATGTGTGTTTTGGTTTGCCCCAGTTGTGGTTGAACCTCTTTTAGTTTCTCCGCATGTAATATTGTGTCGAGTTGTGGAGAATTTGGTAATTAAACATGTCCTTTGTCTGTATGGAGCGCCTTAGGTTTCTGATCGTATGACTGTGTGGTCGGAAATATCTAATATTTTAGCTTCTTATCCGAATGTTGTGATAGTTGGAGATTTTAACCAGGTTGAATATTTATCAAATAAGGCCGGAGGTAATCTGGATATTCCTGGCCGCCATGATTTTATACAATGGAAATTAGACAATGGGTTTTTTTTATTTTCCATTTTCTAGACCGTCTTTTACCTGGACTAATGGGAGAACAGTTATGGACCCCACTTTTGAGAGGTTAGATAAAGCATTAGCTACTTCCCATTGGCTTCAGGATTGGCCGGCTACCTCAGTTCATCACGAGCCCATTTTGTTTTCAGATCACGCGGCTATTATTTTGTGTGACTCTTTGCCTTCTGGTAGTTATAAACGGCCTTACAGAATTGAAAACTGGAGCCTACACTCTGAGGATGTTGCTACTATGGTTCAGTCTATTTTTGCCGAACATATCCCGGGGTCTCATATGTTTTCATTATAAAAAAGGTTATGTGTTCTTCGTCACCGTCTGCTTGCTTGGTGTGTTTCTCATAAAAAGGCATGGGGCATTGATTGGAAAGCTCTGGTTGCAGATGTTGCTAATGCTTCTTTTAATCTTGATTCTCGGAGTAGTCGTTGTTTGTTTAACACTTTTAGGAGGGAGAAGATTGAAGAGGCTCAAGCAGCTTATCTATTTTGGAGACAACGAGCAAAAGTGAAGTGGGATGCATTTGGAGATGAGCATACTCGGTTTCTTTTCTCTGCAGTTCAGGCTCAACGTCGGAAAAACACTATTCGTGGTCTTAAGGACAACGACTGATCTTGGGTTTCAAATGCGGGAGACATTCGTTCTGTGGTTATGGATTTTTACAAGTCACTGTATAGTAGGAATTCAGATCGGCCTTCAGTTACTCAGTTCCCTTAGGATTCCCTTCACCTCCCTTCTTTGTCTGACGGACATCGTCAATCCTTACTAGCTCCCTTTTCGGCTGAGGATATTAGGCAGGTGATGTTTAGTATTGCTGATGGTAAGTCTCCAGGTCCTGATGGTTTTACTTCAGCCTTTTTCAAGACCTACTGGACTGAGGTGGGTGATCATGTTGTGAATGCTGTTCAGTTCTTTTTTGCTCATGGCTATTTACTTAAGGACTGGAATCGGACTTTCTTAGTTTTGCTCCCTGAAGTAGATCACCCTGAACTTGTTTTCAATTTAGACCGATAGGTCTCTGTAATGTCATTTATAAATGCATAGCAAAGTGTCTTGCTCGTCGACTGCGTTGGATTCTACCAGACATAGTTTCGGAGTTTCAGAATGCCTTTGTGCCTGGTAGGTTGATGTCTGATAACCGCCTGATGGTGCATGAGATCCTTTCATTTATGAATGCTTCCAAAGCTAGGAAACGTTTTTACGCGGCCTTGAAGCTAGACATGAACAAAGCTTATGACAGAGTTGAGTGGGACTTTCTAAGTCAAGTACTTCAGGTTTTTGGGTTTCCTCCCTATTGGGTTCATCTGATTATGCACCGGTCTCTTACTAGGTGCTAGTTAATGGTTCTCCTACAGAGGCTTTTCGTCCTCAGCGTGGTTTGCGTCAGGGAGACCCTTTATCTCCCTACCTGTTTGTTTTGTGCATGGAGGTTCTTTCAGCAATGCTTCGTAAGGCAGAATCCGAAGGCCCTTTTCAGGCTGTTAAAATAGCGAGGAGGGCTCCAGCTATTTCACATTTGTTCTTTGCTGATGACTCCTTACTATTTTTCCAGGTTTCTCCTCCTGCGTGTGAACATGTAATGAATGTACTTTCTGCATTCTGTGATATTTCAGGTCAAATGCTTAATTTGCAGAAGTCGTTTGTCAAGTTTATTCCTAATACTCCAGAGGCCTATCGAGCTTATCTTTCTGGTTGTATGAAAATGCGGTCTGAATCTAGATTAGGTTCATATTTGGGGCTACCTGTTGATTTGGGCCGTAGTAAATGCTCTGAGTTTGGGTTCCTCTTGGACAAGGTGGCCAAACGCTTACAAGCCTTTGCAGCTCTTCAACTTTCACCGGCGGCGAAGCTTGTTATTATCAACTCAGTGCTCGTTGCCTCCTTTAATCATATTTTGTCTGTTTTTAAATTTCCTGATTCTATATGTTCTAGGATGGATAATTTGTTAGCCAGGTTTTGGTGGAAGTCCTCTTCTTCTAATCGAGGATTAGCTCTTCGTTCTTCGTCATTGCTCCATCTTCCGAAGGGTTTAGGAGGATTGGGAATTCGCAGTATTTCCCCTTTTAACTCTTCCCTGTTGGCTAAGCAGAGTTGGCGGATTATTCAGTGCCCTCAGTTGTTGGTTTCCCGGCTTCTGTTTGCGAAATATCCGGCTCTTCGTTTCATTGATTCGATCTCGGTTTCTCGTCCCTCTTGGGGTTGTAGGAGTCTTATGTCGGGATTTTCCATGTTGTCGAAGGGTCTGTTTTGGAAGGTTGGTTCAGGTTCTCGTGTTCGTATTTTGGAGGATTCTTGGGTTCCGGGGGACCGGTTCCTTTTAAGGATCTTCCTCCTGAGTCGGTTCAACCGACTCTTATGTCTTTTTTACTTGACCTGCGTTCTTGCGCGTGGAATGCTACTATCATTCATGGTTTGTTTGAATCTAGTTCTGCTGCTGGAATTCTTTCTTTGGATCGGCCACTACAGTTGATGGACTATTTTGTTTACTGGAAGTTCACTAGGGATGGTGTTTTCTCAACAAAATCTGCTTATGCACTTCTTTGTGAGCCTAGGGTCTTGTCTAGTAGTCAATCTCAAATTTCTCCAGCATGGTGGAGGAAGTTTTGGGCTTTACCAATTCTTCCAAGGTGGAAAATCTTTGGTTGGAAATTGTTGCATGACGCTCTTCCTTTAGCGACTACTCTCCATGCTCGAGGGCTCCCGATCGATCCAGTTTGTGCTTTTTGTCATGTGGATGTGGAATCTGTGTCTCATACATTCAGAGATTGTCCTGTTATCTGCAGTCTTTGGCTCTCTGGAGCGTTGGGCATTCAATAGGATCTTATGCAGTTTCCTTCGTTCGATGTTTGGTTCTCATGTACAATTTCTCATTTTTCATCACTGAGGGATTGGAAGGGTATTGCTTCGTTATTTGCTCTTCTATGGGTAATTTGGATTTCTCGTAATCATCTGAGGTTTAAGAAAGCTGTTTGGTCGCCTGGGACTATTGTTGGTTTGGCGTCAGAGTGGTTTCTTCGTGCTATGCAGGCTCAAAAGTGGAAGAGGTCTTCGAAATCTTCTTGTTTGGTTCGTTTGGAGGATAAGTAGGATGCCAGGTGGCAGTGTCTGCGAGGGTTACCTAATATCTCTCCAACGGTTTGTTTCATCATAGATGGGGCCCGGGATTGTTCCACTTATAGGGCTGGAGCAGGCTGGATAGTTCGTGATATTCATTCTTCTAAGGTACTAGGAGGTGGATGTCGGGCTTTTATGGCAAGTTCAGCGTTGCAGTCTGAACTTCAAGCTTGTGTTTGGGGTCTGGAGTTTGCTATCCGTAGAGGCTTCTTGAAAATTCGGGTTTATACAGATTGTGATGCCCTTCTTGCTCTTTGTCCTCCGTCTGGGTCACTGGAAATTTCGGTTTGGTGGCTCATTCAGGAGTTGCGTGCTTCGGTTCAATCCCTTTTGGTTTGCCAGGTACAAAAGGTTCCTCGTTTGTGGGTTACTCCGGCTCACTGGTTAGCAGGTTGTGGCCGGCGTCGTCAGTTGTTGTATTTTATGTTTTAGCTTTTCTTTGACTGATGTTGTATTTGTTAGTTTTCCATTTATTTGATAGCTCTTTTATAAAAAAAAAAAACTCTTTAAAACATAATTATCAATCCTAACTCCATTAGGATTTAAGAGAACCTTCTAGAATATTCTAGAAGACTATAATC